TAATAATTAAAAATGCATTATACTGAAAAAGCCAGCAAAAAATATTTTTATATGTTTATTACTAAGCCTTTACTTATACAACACTGTGTATCTGTGATCCAGGAATAATAAATTGTGTATTATATTATATTATAGATTGATACATTGAATTCATCGCTGTCACATTGCTTTATACACCGTTGGTATGACAACAAGCGTAAGGCACATTAAGTACATAATAGAATCTCTGGTGGAGAATGTCGCTTTACATTAGCTTTAGCTAAACTATGAATATAGTGGTAAATAGAACCTTGGGTTACATGAATCATCTGCAGCAGATAATGTGAAATAAATTGAAGGCAGTGAGTCCCACTTCCCCTCAGGACACCGAAAGCCAGCGTGCCACACTTTCACCTATAGTGCGGCGCGTCCTTTGAGGACAGCATATACCGCAGAGAGGGCCGGAGACCAAAGCGTGAAGTTTCTGTATGTCGTGGTCTGTACGTGACATGTACGTGACATGTACGTGACGTGTACGTGACGTGTACGTGACGTGCTCACACACGCGACTGAACCAGTAAAATGGTACACAAAATAGTCTATTAGGAGACGTGGTCTTGTTGTGACTGTAGCTCTGGTCTAACTCTTATCATAATCATTACCGCTGCCTTCGTCGCCGGCATCGGATGTAGGTCTCTCGTACGTGAGGTCTCTCTTCAGGTATTTTGCTGCTACATTACATTAACTCAGTTGCCATAATAGATTGGTGTTTAGGGCCTCGATTCCAGTCACATCTATCAGCTGCTGCCTGCTTTACAGACCTTAAAATGTTTGTCGTTCAAACCCTTGTTAAAAACAATCTTAAAAGCAGATCTTAACATTTATCATTCCATTCGTCCCATTTGAGTAATATTCATCACCAGATTCTGATAGCTGTATGCGCTGGAGATATTTGCGTCATGCATTGCTGACATAACACTCGGCAGTCAGAGACTCCTGCGAGATGGCGGAGAAGGGACTGGTGATCCATCCCCATCTCATCACGTGCCGTCTCTGTTGGCATGGGAAGAGAGCATGTTCTCTGGGCACAGGTGAGCGGTGGCAGGCCTGCGTTGCCAGTGGTCTTCCCGGCCTGTTACCTCCCCCTTGGTCGCTTCAAAGGCAATACCTGGAATGGCAGCTGGACCCAGGAGTGAGCAGTGCTGATAGCGGAGACGGGCACCACTAGATAAACGTCCCCAGGTCTAACCGAGTCCGGGGGAGGATCGGAGGGAGGGGGACGTGATCGGGAGAGAAGACAGAACTATTTCAGTGACACCGCGGGTAGAAGTGGTTGCACTCGGTATAAGTCGGCCTTGATCTCTCACATACCTCTTATAGTTCCACGCTTGGTATTACTGGGTAAGTTCATGCACTGACAGAAAGCTTTGTTTTGACGGTCAGCATGGTGGTGAAGCGACTATCACTGTCTTATGTCCAGGGATGGGGGTCGAATTCTACCCCAGCCCTTTGCGTACGGAGCTTGTACCTTCTCAACTATGGGTTTCCTTCAGATACTGTATGTTCCCCCTGCAGCCCAAAGGCATGGCTGGGAATATCAGTGTCTGTAATGCCTGTAGTGTGTTTGGCAGGTGGTGGACTGTTCAGGATGTGCACAGTCTCGCACTTGATGTTTCCTGGGATGGGCTTCACATCTGCTGGCAAACCTTTCCTGGATAAATCCTTGGAAGACAGAAAAACTAATAGTAGTATTCTTTCTACATTGTTTATTAAACAATGTGTTTATTTTTTGTGTGTTTTGCTGGCCTTTCGCATAACCTTCCTCTCGAATTTTTCGATAAAAATTCTCCTGCATGAATAGCAAGCAGGTCTTCTTAAATTTATCTATAGTTATCACGCCATGCCAGGCTAAATACACAAATTGTAGAGAGCTAATGGACTTGGAGGTAAACTGTGGTCAGCGGGCAGTGGGTAGCGGAGTTGCTCGTCTTCTCCTTGTGCTGATAAAGGCCTTGCTTCATTTTCCTCTTGACAGAGCATGGTGAACACTCTGCATCCGTAATTGCTTTAGTCCAAAACGAGAACGACTAAATATGTCTGATTGTCTCCTGAGCTTCGAAGCTATGAAATGAACTATGGCTGCATGTGAAAGGAATTCCCAGTTAGTTATTATGTAAATTCATTCTTTCGTTGGAAAAAAAAATCATTTATTTGCTTTGTATTACTATATTTTTTGATTGAATTATGTGACCTCAGATGATAACATCTTAGACGATGATCACTGAATATAAATGACAATTTTCCCAAATAAATTAAAATAGAACCCTGAGCTGAAGATGAGCTTAGAATGTGAAGGTGTTATGAGTCTGTAAAAGCTGGACGTTGTTTTTGTCCTTTTATGCATTTGTGAGCAAGCGTAGCTGGCCTTCCTGTTGTCTTTTCCTCTGCCATTGTCCTTCCAGTAATCCCTCTGTGAATGACCCACATAATTACAGAGAAAGTTCTACATCATGATAAATTTTTCAATTTGGAGAGTGCACTCCTCTGAATAATGCAGCTTCTCAGCCAGGTGCTGATTCTGAGGGGTCTCTGGAGCATTCCGGCCTGACGTCCTGCCAGGGCACGAGCGCATTTCCCACGCTCTCGCCGGGAAAAATACGAGAAAACTGTGGAGCGAGCATTCTGGAACTTTTACATGTTTAAAATTCTCAAGGGGACACCTAAACTAGCTGGAAGCAGCAAATCTAATTATAATTGCAAGGCAGAAATACAATTGATGAATATTGTATATTTGTGACTTGTCTGTTTAGATGAGTATAGTATATACCTGGATTATTTAATGAATTTGAATTCTTTTAGAGTAACTCAAATTTTTTTAACTGCTTAAAATTCAGGACCAATCAATTCCAACAGCTTTGCAGAGTGAAGCTTGTTTTTTTTTTTTTTTGGTTAATTTTAGGCAAAAAAAGACCAACGCCTTATAATTATTTTGTTGTTTTAAATTATTCACTATTTAGATTAAAACTTTTCTTCACCTCACTATAAATTATATAAATGCACTATATATGATATATAACTCTGACAGACATTTATAGTGGCTGGACCCTGTGTTATCTGTGTTTAAGTACGCTATAAAGTTATTCATACTATAATCAATTGATTACAGCAATCCTAAAAGGTGCTCTTTATTTAGGGAAATGCATTTAATAAGTGTCTATTGGTTTGTTCTAGTGAGTCCAAGTTTCACGTGCTGTGAATCTGTTCCCTGTGTGAATAAAATTACACTGCAGCCAATTTAACTGAATGTTTATCGCTGACTAATTTTGTAGTAACAGCCCAAAGCATATTTCTCTCTGCTGGTTCAATAAGCACCTAATCATTTACAAAAATATTAGTCTACAGGCTCGTAAGGGGCAAAACAGCATCTGCTAATGGAATTAGCGGAAATAGCCCGAGAAAAGTTACCATGGTGCTGTAAACGCTCATTTTTATTCAGCATGAACTCATATTTGTCTTTTTGCTTTAAAGAGATTGTAATTACACAGTTTTTTAATTTTAGATTTATTAATATTTCTGGTATATGCTTATAGGCACCAGTATTTTGAAATACACACGTACACGCGTACACGCACACGCACACACGCACACAGATACACACACACACACACACACACACAGGTTTGTACTCACATCTTTGTGGGGACCATCCATTCATTTCTATGGGGAAACTCTAATGCCAACAATGACATCCTTAACCTCTACCCAGCCCTAACCTTAATCATAAGTAACCAAACAAAATACAAGTCTTTTGGCATTTTTAGTTTTGTAATTGCACTTCCTCTTGTGGGGCCCAAAAAATGATACCCACAATGTCAAAATAACAGGTTTTGGTCCCCACAATGCAATGTGTATTTGACCCACAAACATACACACCCACCCACCCACACACACACCCCTTGGTGAGGCGAAGCATTATGAAAACCCCCACATAAAGTGAATAATGTTGACTATCTTGCGGTATACTACATTATGACCAGAATGGAGAAGGGTACTGAGTGGCCAAGAATTGTCAATGCAAGACTGTCTGTTATAAACCAGCCGATGGGCTACTATGGTACAAATTGCCAATAATTTTAATGGTGGTTATGGGAGCGCTGTGTCTCGCCACATGGTGCGTCCGGCCCTGCTGCTTATGGGGATAGTAGCTATCGATTGGACTTGTTGGTCCAAAGGCAAATGCAGATGCTTGACATGTCCCCCGGATTCACTGAACCTGGTCAACTTTTGTCCATTGCTCCGAGGTCCAGTTATGATGCTTGTGTGCCAATTGGCATGGGCACTTTGGCTGTGGTCCCTCCAGAGCTCTGGATTATGGCTGGGTGACATCTAAAAAAAAGAATATACAATATTTCAATTAAAAAAATAGCTATCTAAGGCAGTGTTTCCCAACCCAGTCCTCGGGGGAACCCCGGACAGTCCACGTTTTTGCTTCCCTTCAGCTGCCAGCGCACCTATGCCGTATATTCGGTGTTCCTGATTGGCTGGGAGCTGGGAGGGAGCAAAAACATGGACTGTCCGGGGTTCCTCGAGGACTGGGTTGGGAAACACTGACCTAGGCTAACCAGTGGTGGTAACCACCTAATTGGTGGAGAAAGATTCTGCAAATTGACATATAAGTGGGATGTGCAAGAAATGAATAGGTGTAGTTTCTGAGTTATATACCACAGCTAGGACTCAGCATTCAGGTAAAAACATATTTATTAGCTCTCACTTTTTCAGTCAATCCATCCAGTAGTTCTAGATACTGTAGATGTTGGTGAGTGTGCGAGGGGTACGGATTAGATGGGCGGAGCTGGTGACAATGCTGTCATTCTAACAGCCTTCCTTTCTAGCTTATAAAAATGTTTATAAAATGTGTTAGCTAGACACGAACTGTGTAAATATATATGCATGAAGAGGGAAATTCGTGTGTCACCGTATTTATTGAAGTTTGGCTCTTTTTTGTGTATTTTTTTTTCCAGTTCTCTCCCCTGAGACGACTACAGCAGGATGAGCATTGGAGGAAGGTGAGAACTTCGTTTCATGGGCTCATTTGGATTTAGAAGGAAAACTGACTGTTTGTGAGCAGCAGCAGTGCTTTGAGGTGGTGTGCGTGTGTATTATGTTTATATTACATTGTGGGGACCAGATGTCTCCCACAGTGTAATAAATACCTGTTATTTTGACGTGGTGGGGACCGTTTTTCAGGTCCTCACAAAGATCTGTGAATGCAATCAAAAAAGTAAAAACTAAAATTTTGTTTGTTTACGTATGGGTACGGTTAGGGCTGGGTGAAGGTTAAGGTCAGGGTTAGGGTTATAGTGGGGATTTCCCCTTAGAAATGAATGAATGGTCCCCACAAAGATATGAAGACAAACATGTGTGTTTGTCTGTTTGTTTGCCTGTCTCTCTGTCAGCCTGCCTGTCTGTCTCTCTATGTGTGTGTCTGTTGGCCTGTCTATCTCTGTCTGTCTTGCTGTCTGTCTGCGTGTGCATCTGTCTTTCTGCCTGTCTGTCTCTCTGCCTATCTCTCTGTTTGCCTGTGTGTGTGTGTCTGTCTGTCTACCTGTCTTTATCTGTCTCTGTCTCATTGTCTGTGTATGCGTCTGTCTGTCTGTCTCACTGTCTGTGTATGCGTCTGTCTGTCTGTCTTTATCTGTCTGTCTGTCTCACTGTCTGTGTATGCGTCTCTCTGTCTTTGTCTCTCTGCCTCTCTCTGTCTGTCTGCGTGTGGGTATTGGAAAGGCCAAGGGCTAATACAGACAGGCGCATGCATGCATGCACACATGCACACATGCACGCACTATAGCTCGGGTTTGGACACTATTTCAGAGGCTCTTGCTGTCTGAATGTGATTATTTACTGCAATATATACAGCCATGGAAAAAATTTACAGACCGCTCTATATTTTTAAACAAATCTGTATTTTAAATCCTGGCTTAATCCTGGTTCTGCTGGCAGAAGGCTACACTGAGCAGCCAGTTGCTTCCAGGTTCAAAATATCTAAGACAGCAGTAACCAAGAAAAAGATGAAGCAGGAGACACTGGGAACAGAAAGCAGCCAGGTAAAGGGGGAAGTGACTTTCTAATGCCTAAGACATTAGGAAGCATTAAGTGCAGGTGTGCAGTGCACTGCTAGGACAGTTCGTATCAGGCTTCTAAAGCAGGACTGAAGTCCCATAAAGCAACGAAGGAGCTCTTCATTAGAGGGGAAAATGTGACTCCTCACAAAACTGCTTTGAAAAAGCCATTTGGATATTTTAAATACCAGACTGTTTTCATTATCATTATGCATTCTTATCATTACTGTTACTTTTGTCATACAGACAGCCCCATGTGGAATGACACTGTACCCATAAGTTCTGCTGTGTTTTTGTACTTCTGAAATCGGTGTTCTGAAATGTTGCATTTACCTGTGTTGTGCGAATGTGTAATTTGGCATAACTAGGAAAATTCAGCATCTCTCTAGAACAGATAAGTCATCTGTTGCAGGTATATCATGTTTTATTTGTGACTTGGGTGTAAGGTTAGGCTCTCCAGGGCAGGTCTCGCCCCGTGGGGCGTCTGTGAGTGATGAATTAGGGCGAATAAGGAACAGTTCATCAGGGTTACACAATCTGATTGGAGGTGGCGAAGGCACATCTCACTGCTGTAATGTTATCGTTCGGTCTGTATCGGAGCCTGGAGCGTGCTATTTGTAAAAGCTTTACCAGGTGGAAATTGGAGGAAGCTTCAAAAAGGGGTGACCTCAGACAGCAGAAGACCATCCCCAAGGCTGCCATTACGGCAGACATGCATAAACACAGTCTGCATGGCTGGCTGCCGGGGACAGTCTGGCATGTGGAAAGTTATATTAAAAAATTCATAAAACAAGAGTGTTTCTGAGAAAATCTGACTTCTTGTTTATGTATATGTATGTGTATTTATAAACTCTCTCTCACACACACACACACAGTCATGTAATTGCATCTTTTTTTGGGGGGAAATGCTAATGCTAACAATGACAACCATAACCCCTACCCAGCCCTAACCATAACCATAAGTAACCAAACTAAATACAAGAGTTTTTGCATTTTTAGTTTTTTCATTGCAGTCACGGATTTTTTATAAAATAAAGTTTTCCCATATGGGGGCCAGGAAAGTGGTCCCCATAAGGTAAAAAAAAAAAGAGTACTCATCACGTTGTGGGGACATTTGGTGAGGTATACCTGGACTACACACACACACACACACATGTGAATGACAATATGTTTTAGCCATAAACATAAACATGCACGCAAACCTGCACGCACACATATGGAATAATACAGCATATCATGGTATTCGTTAAGAATTTTAAGTACTGTATAATATATAAAGATATCTGTGGTCAAGTGGATTTTCCATGGACATTTTTTTATATAAACCATATATATGTCTGTGAGCCTCTGTGGAATGATTCATATAGAATTTATGTTTTATGCCGCCGTTCATTTTTTGTTATGACTTATTAATTTGAATTATTGTAATACTGCGATAACCATTCATGGGATCGCTGTGATTTGTGTTTTAACGTATTTGAACTTCACCTACGCTGCGTGACAGTCAAGGATGTACGTTAAGATATACAGGCCGCCTGACTCTTATACCATATGCATGGTAATGTAAGCCATCCGGAAGGGCGCAGTATATATTACCCAGAGCATTACTGTCAGACGGACTCAGTATTTCTCTTTCATTTAAGTCCAGCCTTACCAGCACAAGTGGAACTCCTTACATGATAAGTAACTCAATTAAAATCATGACAGGAAAATTATAATTAGGTTCGGAAGCCTCATAAACCACAGAAAAGCTGCTTCGCTGCATCTGTTGCACTTGTAATCTGCTGCAGTTTCCTTTTTACACCTTACAGTTTAGGTTTTGTTTCTTTTTATTGTATTTATATTCATGCATATATACTGTATATATATATATATATATATATATATATATATATATATATATATATATGTGTGTGTGTGTGTGTGTGTGTGTGTGTGTGTGTGTACATATATATATATATAAAACAATGCTTTGTTGACACTTGTATATGGTCTCCATTAATTGTTTCTTCCCCTATTGCAAATGACGACATTGGGTTCTTCATGGAATCCATTAATTATAAAACCTGGGAGTTGTACAGTAATACGCCGACACTCGCCAAGTAAAATATGCATGTTACACTTTACTCTCCAAGTCCTGTAAAAACCTTTTGCAGAGCCGCCTTATGGGATTACGAATGTTTATAAAATGGTAAATATGCTAATGTCGCTAATATTTATTAGCGGCCATTGTTTTTGTATGTCAGGGAGAAACGCGGAAGAATTCTCTGGAGAAAGTTTGGTCTGGCAGTTAGTAGAAACTCAGAGACGTTAAGTGATTTAGTTGTTTGTTTAATGTCTTTGCTCTGGGTTCATCCTGTGCCAAACTCCTTAGCTAGTTTGTAAGCGTCTGCTAGAAGCTGACTCATTCGGTTATTCTCCTTCCATGCGATCGTGGCCTGCGGGGGACCTCTCTTCAGGATGGGGACTTTCAGCTCAAACTTCCTCAAGGTTTCGGTAATTACAGCGTCTCAGGTTCCCCTAGATGAATAATTCTTGATTAAAGCGTGGAAAAAAAAATCCTATTGGGAGATGAGGATTGGGGGGTGAATTGGATGGGGGTTCTTGAATTATGCGGAATCATGCGGAAGTACGGCCTCGCTCGTGCGTTGCACGCAGACTGCAGGTGCCTGCTTTCCTCAGCCGTAATGAACAAGGGGCACTGGGAAGTATCAAAGTGCTTTTACCCCCTCTCTCTTATAGCGATATTGGCAGCTCCTGAGTGTGAAAAACACTGTCAGTTTCTGCTTTTGACGCCATAGAGGCATCCTTTGGCTTTGTTGGCTGGTGTCAGACCGGTAAACATCCTGACTTTCTTTTAGAGAATGGCGGTAATCTGGTTCACAGCCGGCTCCTCGCAGTAAAAAAGAAAAAGTTTGGGTGCAAGTGTTGCTAGGTTGAGCTTCCAGTGAGCTTACCAGTAACGAGTGGTAATAGTGTTTCTAGTAGTTCTTTGTCTGCATGGTACTCAGTAACAAGTTTAAAGGTTGTTGAGAAGAAGTAAATTTGGTTGCCTCATGTCCACAGCTGAGGGATTTCGAGGGACAGGTGCTTAACTGGGGGGGGGGGGGGTCCCCTCCATAAAAGGGGAATTCAGAACCCACCCATCCAAAAGGCAGCCCCCCCAAATGTACCTGAAGTTAAGCACGTATGTATTTGATGAGTTGTTGAATGTCTTTTGCACATCTACTAGAGATTAATCTATAAGAGACTCTGTAATTAACGACAGACAGTTTTACGTAAAAGCCATTTAGGTTGATAGTTTGAACACTTGTCCCACATCTTTAGTGAAACTACGTATCCTGAGATTACTTCCTCCATTCTCCGTGTAAGAGGAAGCCTTGCCTGGCATGGCTGTTGAAAGAACTTAGTATAAGTATGTGCAGTTAAATAAAACATCAGCTTATAGTTAAATGAGCCCACCAGCACGTCCCCTGTAATTGTGGACCTAGTTCATAGCTATTTGGGAACTGTTCAGACCCGGTGACATCACTGGGTGGCGTTTTCTCTACTGCTCATAAAAACTGCATGCAGACACAGCCGGAAGTTCACAGAATGCCTTGCGATGCCATTCCTTCATATGAAAAGGGGATGCAGGATATATTTTGGTAGCTGGATGTATAAATTATTATTCTCATATTGTGCCACCACTTTGGAAAGAGAACTTTGAATTGCTATGGCAACAGTTCTGCTTTTTAAAAAAAAAAGTTAAATCAGGATATGCAGACTGGTAAATAGAATACTTAATCTGTCTTTTACACAGACAGTTGCATCCAAAATATAGTGAGCTTAGGATTCCTCGGGGCTGTCATTAAAGACAGTCAGTCCTGATAGCACAAGACCGAAGATGGAAAATAGCTGGTATGCAGTCTAACTAAGAACAAAGAAAACCTCTCTTTAGACAGAAT